CCAACATCTGACAACCAATCATCCAAACAAACTTTAACTCAGCGTTACACTTCCTCGCGTCCCAGAAATACACCTGGCAAGTTTCAAGCAGATTAGTCAGTTGTCGAGATACATGAGGAACAGATGGTCACGCTGACCTACTGAGATGTCTGGAATAATTAGTAATTAGCATTCATTTTGAGCCAAATTCCTCCAACTCTGATCTGATCACAAACGTCTTGTACAAGCACAAAATTAGCTTAAACTAATTCGCTGAGGCCATCAATTCAAAGTATTCATGTGTAAACTTTGGCTTGCTAACTTAGCTGCCGGTGTTTTGTTTCTGCAGAGCACCACAGGACATCTTAATAGCATTCTATCTTGACACCAACAGTTACATAAGGCCCTCAGCCCCCCACGAGATGCCCTGCTCCACTCCCAGCTGTCTACTGTTGACTCACTGAGTGGGAAAGAAAAACTTGAGGGTAGATGCACTGGAGAGGCTGTGGGGGCCAGAGGGAAGGAAGGAGGATATTTGGTAAACACACTGATGTTTCCTCGGCTTAAATACCACTTCCAGTAACATCAAATCGTGCCCATGACGCTTTTCACTTATCAGCATTTTTCTACCACGGCTGTTATTCATCCTGACTTCTTCTGCCATCTGAAAAAACTGCAAATGCCATTCCTTCATAAGGGATTTTTTTTTCTGTCATGAAAACTGCACCCACTAAGCAGTCTAAAAATAGCTGACTTCCACCTGTCTGCCAAAAAACGGCGCTTATCTGGAGGACAGTAATCCAAAGGACACTTTGGATTTTCTGAGCATGTCGCTCTCGCTCAAACACGAAAAACGTGTTCATTTGTGGTATTTTCAGTGCTGAACTGGAGGTGTCTGGCAATCCAATTAACACACCACCAAGATAATGAGTGTGGTGCCACGGCCAAGCAGTCACACTGTCATGCAGTAAACCTGACTCAAAAGGCACTGTACCCTCAAGCTGCCTCAGATCTACCGTGTAGGGTGATGAGATGGCACATAGAGCCATTGTTCTCCTCAATTATAAGCATCCAAATTATTACAAACAGAGAGAACTCCAAAAATTCATTCAACAGAATGACAACAGAGCAGCGAGAGGACAAAAGATGACAGAAAAATGCAGTGTCCCCATTACTGCCAGCAGAAAGGCGTGGTGAGAAAGGGCATATGAACCACTTACAAAGCCATTTGCTCCACTGTGTTTCTGGGCACAGCAGCCTTATTGCAATGCACTATTGATCCCCATTTTCTTTCTCTTTTGAACTTGCAACTCTACTGTATTGCCTTATAAACTCTCATCTGATCCCTTCTGCTAAAAGGCTTACTTCCATCATTTCCTACTTTCCCATCAGCCTTGTGGGGATTGGTACGTCAGCTGGGAGAGTATAGCTAGAATATGTAACGGTACTTCAACAAATCCGGCATCCAATCTGTGTGTTCAGCCGTCAGCCTGCAGCAGTGGCAAATCGTCTTGAGGTGGTGATATCTACTCAAAGTTATGCGAGGCCAGAGCGTCATCAAACGTACTAACGAAGACACTTATGTTATGTTATGAATAGCCAAATTATTGCATGTTACATTTTAAGCAATGCCACTTTTAGTTACCAGGCAGCAACCAGTGGGACACAAAAATGATCAGAATTGCTGAACTTGCCCTTTCCACCGTGTTTGTGCTATCGGTGGTTTTAGGAGGATTTTGATGAAACAGTCTTTGATGAAATTATTTGATAAATAATATAGCCTGCAGCGTGATAGGGCTAATCCAAAAAGTTCTAATACATGTCACTACTCCCAAAAGTTTTAGTACTTACTACTTTAGTATTAGTTCGATACTTAAAACAAATTATAGATATCCATGTCCTACTACATTTGTTGCATGTATTTATTCATTGTATAAAATGATTACATCAATAATATCATTAGGAGCCCATGCTGCATCACGATCAATAAATTAATCTTAAATGTTAAAGTAGCCAGCTGCACACTACCATAGACTTTGTATAAAACATAAAGTGCCCCCCATAATTTAAACTATGATAGCTCTTTTAGATGTTTTCTGACAAAGTTATTAATAATAATAATCTGTGTAACCACTGGTTTGCAGCTTGTTGTAGAGTGTTCTTGAGTTGGCAAGTTGTTATGAATTTGTTTTTCTTTACCACAGAAATGTTTCTGTCATCATGCACTTCTTTTTTGGCCTTTCTTGCTTTTTGTTGTTGCCAAGCTGAGCAGTACATAAAATCTTTTCTCTCTTATTCATTCTCTTTCCCCCTCTGATGGTTTTTCAGCCTAATGATCGCTCCCTCACTTGCACCAACATCCCTTTGGGCCTCATATTTTCAAATTATATTAAAATTACAGTGAAAAGTTATAAAATACAAATTCAAGCCTTTGAATCAACTTCAGGTGTTATGCCTGCTTCATTTGTCATGAAATAACACGGCAGAAGGCATCACCTGGCCATGAAACTGTTTATCAACTGTTTATCTTTTAACAGTTGATATTTTTTATAACACTAATTACATTAAAGCTCCAAGTCTGCATGTCAATCACATATTGATTGTTTGCTTTAACACCTGTTCTTAAACAGCTCCATTGGCTCCCAATTCACCTCCGTGTCAATTTCAAGATCCTGCGTCTCACTTTCAAAGCGCTTCATAACCTCGCTCCTCCATATCTATCCGATCTTCTCCATACATACTCGCCCCTTCGTACACTCCGCTCTTCTTCAGCTTCCCTTCTGTCAGTTCCACCTGCTCGCCTGACTACCATTGGACTCAGAGCCTTTAGTTGTTCTGCCCCGAGACTTTGAAATGCACTTCCACTTGCTCTACGGACCACACACTGTCATCACTTTTAAATCACTACTCAAAACCCATCTGTTTAGAATTGCATACACCTGATCTCTCTTAGGCCATTTTTACCTTGCTCAGTTTTTATATTTGCTTTTATACTTTTATGACTGTTTAAGTCTAAATTTTATCTACCATGTTTGCTATATATATACATTTTTCTTATGGTTTTTATGGCATGTTTAAGTGTTACTGTAAGGTGACCTTGATGGTCTGAAAGGCGCTAATAAATAAAATGTATTATTATTATTGTTTGATTTACAATATACTGTGATGGTGTACCGAGGCAAAACTACAAAAATTATCTAGCTCTGAAAGCTAGATAAGAAGTGCATTTGATTGTTTATACTGGCCAGCAGGGGGCGACTCCTCCAATTGCAAGTCCATTGGTACAGTCAATGGTATTAACATCTACTGGAAACCAGCCTTCAGCCCTCCTTGTCAGTGGCCTCAGTTTAAATACTAAGTAAATGAGTTTTGGGTCTCAGTCATGAAAAATGGTGTTTATTTTCCTAATTATAGAACCCATTAATGTCCAAAAGGACCATTTCAAGGTGACAACTGCCCCTTGATTATTATATGTGCGGTTTGAAAAAGCAAAGATGCGAAAACACTCAGGATGCAAGACAAGGTTTTGCAAACCAATGTATTACCCTTTTTTTTTTTTTAAATTCCCAGTGATGAAGTATCATCACTATATACACTGTTATATAGCAGTTTTTGAATACAGTGGATTTTATCTACTGTTCTTCTCCAAGACTTGTTTAGGAAGCTCATATGTTGAACTGTGTAAACTTATTCTAATTTAAGTGAAGTGCCCTTATAGAATAATGCTATTATTTATACATTTTAATTGACTCCCAAGAAATGCGCTGCAGTATTAGTGAGTTAGAATAATGAAATAGGGATTGTTCTCATGTTTTCTGTTTTATTTTTCAGTGATTTGCTCTACCCTCAGAGAAACCATCTACTTTTACCTCTAACAAAAGCCAAACAGTAAACTTTATATCTGATATGTGATCAAAGAAAGGGAGGAGAGAGAGAATAGCTAGATTGTACAGACAGGACTCTGGCAAAGGTTTTAACCACTTCAGATGTTTAAATTCATCATGCAGCATCATCGAGGAGGTGTCTGATCTGTCCCAGATTGATTCTGCACCAACAGATGGTATGGTCCCCACAGAGCTTGGATCTTAACATCATGGAGTCAGTGTGGGATTACATGCAGTGACAGAATTGACAGAACTGAAAAAGTCTAAATCCACAAAAGAATTGGGGCAAGTTCTCCAAAATGACTGGCACAAGTTATTTTTAAAAAGCTCATTTTTGAAGGCTCCCCGCAAATCGCTACCTTATCGTGGTGGAAGGGTTTGTGAATCACAGGAGCTTTGTTGTCAGGGGGCTTTAGTCCTGGGTGAGGGACCAGACAAAGAGTAATTCAGAAAACCACTATGAGTAAAAGATCAATGGAAAAAGTTCACCCTCCCTGGGACAGGGTCCACCCTGGACCAAGGCCCAGGGTGGGTGCCCTTAGTCCATGGAGCCCAGTGGGGCACAGCCCCAAAAAAGGACATGGGACCACCTTCCTGTAGGGCCACCACCTGCAGGAAGCGCTCTAGGCATCAATGTGTATTATTTTATGCTGCATTAAATACTGTATTTAAACATAACATACTGTAGTGATAAAAATGAGGTATTTGAAAATCAAGATTATGTAGTAAGTTTGAGTCTAAAAGAAGAAGGAATGAAAAATAGCAAGCAAACCTGTTCTCAGCAAAACATTTCCAAGTCACAAGTGTCTGACAGCACTGTAGGAGAAATGTGTGCCAAAACCACCTTTTTAATTCTTTAACTGAAAGCTTATTAAACCAGACACCTTAGTGAAATGTGGATTGTAACTCTGTTCTATTGTGGTGCGAGTGCTTTGGTCCACCTATTTCACTGTGAAATTTGCCTCTACATGGAATCCTTTTTCCCCCCCTCCTCATGCAACTCTATAGTGCTCGCCTGATTGGGTCTGAAGAGAGCCGCTTTGGTCAAAGTCCCTTGTCATGGGCTAGACACAGAAGAATACAGATGAAGTGCAGATCGAGTCCAGCTCTCCTCCAGACCACTTTAATTACAATTTGCTGAAATGTTATCATGGACTTCTGTCCAATGCTGCCTACTGCAGCTCAAAGGACAAGCATTTGACCTAAAAGATGCAGCTTCTTTGTGCATTTACAGAGGAAAAAAGGCCCAAGATTAACAGCTTATCAGAGCAAAATCCGCTCTCGCCACAACTCTTGAATACCAATCACAACAAGAATACCGATGTCCCTGAACGGTTCTGTGCGCTGTTTTCTTTTGAATGGACGGTGCTTGCTACTGAGCGGTTGTAGCGTGCAAGGGTCAAGAGTCTGCAAGAGTACAAGGTTTATCAGGGGAGGCCGTACAGAGTAGTCTACAAAAGCTCAGGTCGGGTGTCACCCATGACTCTCTTTGAACAAAGTGTTGGTTCGAATACAGAACACCCTGAAAGAGTGCTTGTGAAAAGACAGCAAAGCTGGTAATGAAATGAAGGCTCTTCATCAGCTTAATCCATTAAATATGTTGACACTGCTGTTAATCACACACTGTGAATCCTGTGAGAGGGCACAGCATTCAGAGTTTGAGAAGACTGATTCACAGAGAATTACTCCTTTTCACTGATATAAAATCAGCACTTCAGCCTTGCAACCCTTAAAAAAGAAGAAAAAAAAACAACCCTAAATCTAACTATAGCCGTTCACAAACATCAACTCCCCGTTACCCTTCCTCCCATGGAGCACCTAACACTTCAGACACACTTCTCACTCCTGGAGATCTTCTGTCTGGTTTAGGAGAGGGTGCTGCCAGGACAGAGTGTACAGGAGGCATTAAACGTGGAACCCCGTCGCTCACTAGGAGCAAGATTTACAGTGCACACCAACTCAAAATCCTCTTTAGGTGTTAAAAATCTGTATTTACTACAGAGAAGCAGTGTCAGCTTGCAATTGAAAGACGTGGACAAAAGTATTTTTGCAGCTTGCCTTATTTCATATGTTATTTACAGGAATTAAGAGTCCAAAACTGGGGAGGAGATGAATCACACCACCATGATTTAAATCTGTGCCGATCAATTTACTGCTACTGTGCTAAAATCAACACTGTTAAAAGCCTGTTTTATTTTGCACCTGATGTGGTCATGACAGTGCTGTTAGGAGTGTTAATTTATTTGTAATGAGAGGGGAAGAGTTTATCAGAATGAGTGCATAATTGGCAAAGGGTGATGGCTGTGAGCACAGTGTCAGAGCACTGGCTCCATCATGTAACTCTTCAGTGAGTCCTCCCTCCGCATGTTTAGAGCCTCCACAGTAAAACTGGTATTTTTATGAAACAGAATAGAACTGGACTGAATTTAGCACCACAGTAAATGCGTTATTGCAGGGAGTGAATAAATGAGCTTCCGGGTTACAATCGAGGGGTGCTGTGGAATTACTGTGTCACATGCCACATGACGCAATGTCAAAATCAGTGCAGGGCACCCAGCACATTTTTTACCATTTTCTTTTTTTCAGTAGCAAGATGAATAATTAAAAATAGCTGCATCCATAATATGAGATAAGTAGTTAGAGATGTGTTTGGAGACTGGACAAGAATGGCCCGTAGGTTTTTGTTTGTTTGTTCTTGAAACAAACAATGTGAATTGTTATGCCCACATATTATTCAGCCACCATGTGACCAAGCCTACCTTTGCTGAAGTCTTTAGGATCGAGTGACAGGCTGTACCCAGGTAACGTTTCCAACAGCAGCTTGTAGCAGGCCCTCCAGCCAGGCTCTGGGATGGTGGGAGCTACACACTGCATGGCAGCGACACGCTTGAAAAAAGCTGATTTTCGATGGAATCCAATCAATTCATAGAGCTCAGACAGGATACTGTAGCGCTGAATCTTCTCTTCCTCTGACAGCTGTGAAGAGAGAAATACCATTATGTCTTCCTGCACTGGAAAATTCACTTTTTAAAATCACCTCATCTTATCAATCAATACATGTGCATGCTTTGATATTCAGAGGCGCGAGGGAAGTAAATTATGGTGAGATCACCTTGTTTAAAAGTGTTCTTGTGACATCACGACCACTTTGTAAGCCAATCACAGGTCAGGTAGATATATAATTGATCAAACACAGATTTCTGTTGGGGCATCTTTTTATCAGTGTCTTCTAATGTACCAAGAGGGCAGCATTAATATTCCAAACCCATTGATGAAAGATGATGAAAAGACAACTTTGCCTGACATTAAAACACTGAGATTTAGTTAAAAGTGAAAATGCTGTCTGCCCAGCTCATTGGGAAAAAGGGAGGAAAAGGAGACATTCCTGGACAACTAAATTTGGTTACAAATTGTTTACAGCATGAACTTACTATCTCAATGACACTGCTCTTAGATCTATGTTTGTATTGGATCTAGAGAGTCCTGCAGCTGTACAGATGTTTTTTAAGATTAATGATGTCATGGTTTCATTTATTAATAAACAGGAAAAGTGTCTGTTGTCTTATAAGTTACTTAATTTAAAGCTCATAATTAGCTCTTTTACACTATTTGTTACCCGTATATTTTCGTCAGCTCATCTCCTGATCTGAGGTCATCTATCTCACAAAGACATGCATATAAGATCCCTATTTATTCCTGATATTGTCACAATTACGTATTGTCAAGAAACTACTCATGAAATCGTTCTGTCTCTAGAAAGCTGACAACAAGCGACTAAACAGCAGCAGCTGGCTATAAGATAACATTTTGACAGCTAACGTTACGGTGCAAGCGTCCTAAAAATGATCAACACATTCACTATACTCATCACATTGTTTGTTTGCCAAGCATCCAAGTCAAGCAATTTTAGATCCACTTCAAAGAAAGTTTACTAACACCAGCTAATAGCTGCAAAGACAGCAGTGCTTAACCACGGAAGAGTTCAGGTTATCCTCAACAACTCACCTCAGTATCACTTCCAGACGGAAGTAAGCTTCACTGACTCCTCAACTCCTATCACTCCTTTCAGTTTTACACCCTGCTCTAGATTAAATAGACGTGAACACCAAGCATACTGATAGGTGACTGACAGCCTACACTCACTATGGAAGAACTGTGCTGCAGTTTTTGAAGTGAGTTTGGGGTAAAAATGTATTATTTAAAATACAGATATCAGGTTTTTTATTCACGATTTACTGCTTAGAGTTGAAATTTTTTAAACATGTTAAAACATTTTGTGAATATCTTGATGCATTCTCAATCATCCAGGAAAGTAAATCTCCAAAAGTGGATTCTGTTCATCGGACGTAGCGTTTTGTGGGAGAAACGTTTCGTCACTCATCCAAGTGACTTCTTCAGTCTCAGCTGACTGCAGGTTTCCCCAATCTTATAAACAGTACATTTGCATAATGACTGAAACCAGCCCACTGAAAGGATAATGGGCTGGGAGGTCAGTTCCTTAATCTTAATTATACAAATTCTCATGACCACTGATCAACAACCTGTTTATAAGATTGGGGAAACCTGCAGTCAGCTGAGACTGAAGAAGTCACTTGGATGAGTGACGAAACGTTTCTCCCACAAAACGCTACGTCCGATGAACAGAATCCACTTTTGGAGATTTTTGTGAATGAAAATGTTTCTGTACACAAACTCTATACACAAATACGCCAGCTGTAATTCATAACAGATGTGAGCCATCTAATTTTGACATTTTTAATCCCTCCTGACTGACCAAAATGTGATTGTCCTACAGAGGCCACCGTAGCTAGGATTGTGCTCTAGAAATGGGAGGGATATGAACACTAGATGAAGTTGACTGCAATCTACTGACATCTAGTGGTGAGATTTTACACACTGTGACTTTAACATGTCTTTCCAACATCAACCAAATGAAAAGAAAATCACGTCATTTAAAAAGTTGTTCCATTAAATGGTTTTGGAAGTTTGACGCTAGATAAAAATTGTTAAGAACAATTTCATCACACTGAACAATAATAACAATGACACAGGAGGAAAATTTCAATGACAAATGCAAAAAAACCCCAAAAAAACCGAAGCATTTTCACACAACAGGAGAACAAAAAAAAAAGTGTGAATCAGTGTACTCAAAGGTGTCCTGGAAGAACTTCACTGACTCAAAGTCGTATGAGCAAAAAATTCAGACACAAAAATAAATGTATTAATCTAATGATAAAGAGCTAAGACCAAAAAAGCCCATTTTAGAGTGTCTTTTTGCTAAAGGTCCTGTGATTTAACTGTCCACCACAGAGCCAGTGGTCATATTAATCATCCCGTGCGGCTGGGAAAGCTTTTATTTCCCGGTCAGATGGCGTACCTGTCCCAGGTTGATGTAAACGGCATTCTGCAGGAAATCAGAAGCCTCTCTGGCCCTCTTCTGAATAGCCAGCACCCTGACTGCTTTTACACAGGCCTCCAGCTCGATGACACCTGCGTTCTTGTACTGCGAAAGATAAGAGGAGGAGTAAGGGGCAGGAGGAGGCTCGGTGTTAATGAATAATGAACAGTCGATCAGAGTCGCCTTGAGTTTTACAACCCACCACATAATCAGGGAGAATGTTCTCTCATTAACATATGACCGTATTCATCAGTCAACACGGATGTGGGAAGATGGACCAGTGTGATAAGTCGGATCTCCTATTGTTCTACGTTCAGGAATTCCCAACCATTACTCAGTTTCTGCTGAAAAAGCTGAGCAGTTGCTACTGGTTTGCCCCCTTTTTCCCCCTCTTTTCTTCTCTTCTCAAACCTCACCGTCCCTCAACTTCCTTCCACTTCCACCCTCATTGTCTCTTTATTAAAATTCAATTAATATCTGAATGGCTCTGTGTTGAGATGTAATTTAATTCTGAATGAACTAGTTACAGGTAAAACGGCTGAAAGAAGGTCAGTGCAAAGAGGCAATTATAATAATGAAGATAAAGAGCAGGATTGCTTCTGAATAGTTTGGAAGCATAATGAGCCTATTCGGCTTCCCCTAACCATTAAAGATACTTTAATAGTATTCTTAGTGACTTTGTACTGGGTCCAAGTACATTGTGCTATAAATGGAACCTGTACAATAACTTTTCTGTGTGCAGGAGTGCGTTATTGCTGACTAATAAGCTTCTAGTCCTACTATCTACACATGCCCCCATGCTTGCCCCCATGAAGCTTCAGTATAGCAATAATAACAAACAGCTACTGTCAGCATGCACAAGTCCTTAACAACTCAAACAAAATAAAATACTGCCCCCTGCTGAAATCAATAAATATTACTACACAGCTTACGACACTTACATTTCTGCTTACCAGGTTTTGTGTGAGCATTAGTCTAAAGACTGAATGGCTGTATTTAAAAATACCCTTTATTTTCTCTAATCTGATTCCCCATTCAAGTCAAAAACACAACCCATTAACCTGGAGCTCTGCGGCTTGTACTATGAAGCAAGATCGGGATACTCAGCATATCTTTTTTTAATCTGGCTTCAATTACCCTTCACTAAACCACTATTCACAAGAAGGTGCTTATCAACTCTGTAAGTTAAACCAGGGTTAACCACATAATTAAGACTGAGGTTTTGCAGCATGTAACCAATCACAAACAAGCACTGGTCTACTGGCAACAGAGCAGATCATTTCACAAACAATAACAGAACTACAGGAAAGGAAAAATAGGAGGTTAAACTCGTAATATACACCATCAACATGACAGCTACTACAGCCAAGCAGCACTGTCAGGAAAGCGCTGTATGTAGCTGTAGTATTAACTGCATCAGTTAATGTAAATACTAGTAACTATAAAACCAGGAGGGAAATCTGGCAAAAATATGCTGACCACATAATCTAATGGATTTATCAGTGTAAATAACCAATCATTACAGCACTGGGAGCTCCTGCTATAATAACTAATTAAATGAGCGAGCTGTTAGATGTATTCTTTCAGCACGTCAGAGAGTTTTTGCCCTATTCTTTCCACTGCAGGCCTGATGGCATCAAAACTGGCTGAGAGAGAGTACACAACAGATAAACAACAGAATTCAAAGCAGTTGCAGGCTGACTTGCAAATTTCATATAAAATCAACATGCACAAGGCTTTAGTGCTCTCTGTTTTAGGATTACGTTGCTTTATAACTCTAGAACAAAGAAATAACTTTAGAAATGTCTGCAGTCAGCAAGGAAAAAAAACAGAGGGGAGACAAAAGTTTTAGTTAGAAAAAAACATATTTAGTTTTTGGAGATTATCTGCATGCCAAGGCCCAAAGAGGTTTTCTGTTGATCCAGAGAAGTGATCAGGCAGTAGGTGGTGGTTTTGCATGCACTGACCCCTTACTCATCCTTATATGACAATGCACCATGACGAAGTAGTTTGATACAGTGAAACCACAGGATAAAACACGAGGTTATCTTGCCAAGTGTCCAACGCTGCTTCTTAGCACAGACCTCTAGATGGTCACTCATCTCATTTTTACCAAGTCTAATATCAAGAGAACAGCCTCAATAAAGATAAACTAAAGCACCTTTGGAGAACAAGTGCAGCCCCAGGCAGGACTTGCTGCTTATCATGTACAATTAAAGGAGAATAAATGCTCTTAATCTGCAGAGGGTGTTTTGATCTAAAGAACAAGGCTGCCATTAGTACTTTTTCTTGCTGTTTCAATAGCTAAAAATCTCTCTTTAGGACCTCCCTACTGCATCTGTGGCTCTCTGCTAAGAGTCTATTCTGTAGGCTTCATCAAGTTTAAGACGTTAAAACCACATATCAGCAATCTAATATTACATCATTCTTAGCAGTACTGTAAAAGTACAGTGGAAAATCACAGGATTATATGAGCTGGAGTTAGATATTATGCCGTTTTATATATACTATACATAAAATGTTTAATATCTCAGCCTACATCATATGCAAGAATATGTTATGACTAACATTACTGCCTAGACCAAGCAAGAGAGTTTTTAATAAGATATTATTAACTTTCAAAGCCTTTATTGAGACAACTGAATCGAAATGTTAAGAGACACATTTAAATATTAGTGATTATTTATATGAATCAGTTTCATGCTATGTTTGCACCTCTGAAGCCCTACTGATCCCCCATGACTGCATTCATGCAGATCATTTACATGAGATGAGCAAGTCTGTGTACCAAAAAGGTTCTGACAATGGCTGGACATAATGACAGCTATTGATGGAAAAGTGCCTGGTTGCGTGACACTGACCTTATGTTACTAAATATAGGCTGTCACATATTAACTGTTCCTCTGCGTTCCTCACTAAAAGCCGCCATGTGTGCTGTCAATCTCATCGTCCTCCATGCTGGGAAACAACATGTGGCCCAAAATGTTCTCCAAACTTTCAGAATCAATTGCATGAAGCCTCCGGAAGTCTCCAACAGAAAGGCAGATATCACAGAAATGCTGATTTGCATGGGACTAATCACTGTCACAGGGCTTCTGTGCTCTGGTATGAGAGCAGAAGGAGACACAAATTCCTGTGAGGGTTGCATCAATAAGACCATCCAGCATAAAGATCAGTGCCAAACAAAAATTTGCAGACCCATCAGCGGTGGCAACTGCTTACAAAAAAAGGAGCAGCTAGAAAGAAGCTCATCTTGTCCTTGTTTAGTCCCCTGAAGACTCTTATTGAAAATGTACGGCCTGCTTGTTAGTGAAGGAATTCATTGGGGAATTTTGAATGACAATTAAGCTTTACTGTAATCATCTATACAGCAATTTTAAAATAGTTCATGTTTAAGATCCAACTAAAAATCAAGCAAAAATAATCTATTATCCTCAAGCCAACCCAACAACAACCACACTGGTTGGGACCTGGTTTAACAGCCGTGTACACTTCGGGCAGTACCTTTCCATAGTAGGAGATGGCCTCTTTGTACTTCTCGATAATGTCCTCAGGACTCAGGCAGTTCTTTGCTCGTCCAATCTCAGTGCTGGTGTCCGCACTAATGCCGTTGGTTGTGAGGGCTCCTACAGTCAAAACAGGACAGCATAAGATTGGTACAGGAAAGAAACAGAGAAGACAGTGCATCACTCTGGTCTGCTACTAAAGGAAAGGAAGGAGAAACAGAGTGAACAAAGGAAGAAGAGAAAACTCTTTAAAGGAAGAGTACTGGACACCCCGTCAACACAAATACTTTCAAATATATTACATAACACAGACCACGTTACAGTAATGGATTGAAATATTGTTGAAAACCCACAGGGTGATGAACCAAATGTGTTTATCCCATTTTTCCAATTTAAAAGAACTAAAACATGAAGGGGTGAAATTAACAATAAGATATAAACACAGCCACAGGTAAACTTACCTGTTAGTCTTTAAATGAAAGTGCAGAGGGCCTCTCTAAGCCAAATCTGATTAGAATACACACTGACCTGTGTGTGTGACTGTGATGCTGTCACAATGTATACGATGTGATGCTGACCAAATGACATTTGCATCATGAAGGGGCAATGATTGTACAGTGCAACACACTGTGTAATGTTTTAGTTAGCGAAGATACAAATATACACAAAATATAATAGAATATATTTGCTAATATAGTGACAGATTCAGCAACAGTGAGCGTTTAGTAAGCAGGAAGTCTGCACGACTGGTGTTTGACTGCCCCCTGCTGGAGCAACAACAGTCTTCAAAGAGAAATATTCTAGTAAGCAATTGCTTTAAATCATTTTGATAGGGTTCAATTATTTTTCTTTCGTAATCAAGAGTAAGATGTAAGCTGGTATTATTAATGGGTCAATAAATAAGGAATGGAAGCAACTGAGAGAGGTCATTTAAAGATCTGGTGACTGAAAGTGAGGCTGTGAGGAGAAAAAAAAATGGTGAAACCAAACCAACAGAGGAGAACATCTGTCACAGGAGGGAGAAGTACATCGGGTGATTTGTGAAACAAACTATATAAATCAAGGTGGTGACTGTGAAGGATGAAGAGTGATATAAAAACAGATGCAAACGAGGGCACGTGTGATCACAAGCAAGCAGGCAAATTGTTGTCCAGAAGAGCTAAGTTGGTTATACATTCCATACCTGGATCAATGAGAACCTCCTGAGCCCCTACAGACAGAGAGAGAGAATGCAGATTCACTCCATGACGCAGGGAGCAATGTTAGCAGTGTTAGTCCCAACAATTTGCAAAAATGGCTGCTGCTGGTTTGCCATGACACACTCTGAGCTTGTAGCTGTATTATTGACACTGCTCATTCATCGGCCAATCAACATGCTATTAAGTGATGACAAACAATTTTGAGCTCAATAAGGTGTGGTGAATAAAGCTTTGTGTTAAGCTTCCAAACATTTACACTGCTGCAGCTGCTGACACTCTGGCTCATTGATATACTACACCGCTATACACACTATAGTAGTATTTTAACTCTATATTAAACTACATAAGAGCGCCATACATGTTACATTTTATGCATAGTAGTACTTATAATATGTAATACAAAGTGGTTGTAACTATATGGAGGGTGATTAAATTTCATTAAAACCATGTGCGAAACAGAGCGTGTGCAATGGTACTAAAAAAGTTAAGTAATAAACAAATAGTATATTTTACTCTTTGTAAATTAGGCCAAATGTGTAAAATCTGCAAACATGAGGAGGCACTGGTGCAAAAGTAATTGAGGGAGGGAGGCAGTATGCCGCCTTCATAAAGTGCTGCATTTGAATCGCAACACCTGCTCAAAATCTCATTTCATTTCATTCTCCTCATCACAATAAACAAACTGTTTGTTTAACAACAAACTGTATTCACTGGCTTTTAATACAGTGTGAGAGTTATTTGATGCTAATATTATAAGTTATTTGGTACTAGTTATTTTGTAGTTCTGTACAGAACTTTGGTCAACACTGCTGCTGTAATGAAATGTGCTATAAAAATAAAACAAACTTCAACTTAATATTATTAATGAAACCAATAAACCCAAACTGATCATCTTCAAAAAATGAAGAAATATATCTGAATAAAACTGAATTACTGAAATAAAACTCTACTTTTGACAGATTCGGAAAACAAAATATTTAAGTAGTACAAAACCTAGAATAATTCTGGCCCATACTGTACATATCAGGGCCGCACGCTTATGCTCAAAATGATAATCATGATTACTTACAACACTGATATTTTGATGATTTCTCAGGATTAATCAATCATTTTATTGCCAAAAACAAAACATATTAACGCCAATGTAGTGTGAAATTATTTGCGTCAAAATAAATGTATTCCACC